TTAAATCATTGGATCAGTTATTAGGAAAAGATCAGCTCCAGAGCAAATTGAAAGAGCACTGTAATGTGTGGGAAACTATTAGCTGAGATGTAAGTTCATTTTCGATTGATTAAAAGAAAAAAATCTGAAAACCATCTGACTGATTGATACAGTATGCTTTGTCTCCAGGGTCCTATTTTAAGGTTGGAGTTAAAACATTACCATTGATTTTCAAAGATTTTTTATTTCATGTCACTGGAGGACTCACTCTGTCTTTGTTTCCTGTCGGCTCTTTAATGAATGCACTCAAATAAAGATTAATGCAGTCATTAATCTATGTGACAAGGAGACGACTGGAGGCGTCCAGGAGAGGGTGATGTCTGCTGCAGGTTGAAAAGGAGAGATAAACTGTATCTTATTTTTGCTAAGTATCACTCTGCAGCATCACAGCATTATTTAAGGTGTGTACTAAGAGCATTACATACTCATTTTAGTCATTAAAAAATCATGTTCACTTTTCACATGCTAAGTACTGAGAGCATGAATAATACAACAATAAAATCAATATCTTATTGAATTATTAATGATTTTCTTTTAAATCTGTGGACATCTGGGATAGACAGAACAGTTAGACAGCAGAAGTTTTTTTTTGTGTGTAAGTTTGATGCTCAGTATCCATGGAACAAGGTTTGAAGAACATCAAAGCTCTGACTTTAAAAAAAAAACCTGCAGTAATGAGAATTCAGGCTGCTGCTGGAGGTCGGTCCTGCTGCTGGAAAATTTCTTCTAATGGGTCAGTGGCTGCATGTACTGTAAATGGACAGGAAGTGGAGGATGTGCAGACGAGGAGAGAAGACTTCAGTTTAGGTTGAAGCATTGGGATTATTCCCTGAACACTGTTGAGTCACTAACAGATTATATTTGGTGTGTATGTGTTTAAGATGTTTACGTTATTGACATTTTTTTCCCTTTAAAAAATTGCTTTGGTCCAGAGTCAATGTCTCTGTCATTGGTGTGGAACCAATGACAGGGTTCACCTCCTGGGCAAGTTCAAATCCCGGTTCGGGCGGTTGGTACCTTCCAGTGGACTCACCACCCGCAGGAAGGTTCAGGGGGGTTGGTATGGTGCAGGGTGATTTGGGCGGCGTCTGCTGCCCCCGCGACCCGGTAACGGATAAGCGGATGAAAATGGATGGATGGATAAAGAATTGCTGAACATGCTGGATCGTCATGGTCGTTCTCTAGGTCGTTATGCAGCTCCAGTACTTGTTCAACCTTCCAAAGGGTGAGTTATGACAGGCCACATCCTTGATCGTTGTGTCATTGATGAATTGACGTATTGATGGAACGGGGGCCTGCAGCTCTTCAGTGTGTGATGGGAGGATTTACACAGGCTCAGTCACGGCTGACTTGGCTGACCTGGTTATTGAAGCCAGAGCTATTTTGGTCACGGTGCACCGTGTGGAACTTAAGATTGGCCAGGTTGTGCCAGTACAGATGTTACTGTCTGACCCAGGTCAGCACGAGTCTGACGTCTGACCACTCCAGCAGTTTAGCCAGAGGTTAAAATTACCTCTGTTACTTCTGTGGTGTAATGTTGACTGATGTTCTCTGTTAGTTCTGTGGTGTAATGTTGAAAAAAAAAAGATGTTCTCTGTTACTTCTGTGGTGTAATGTTGAAAAAAAAAAATCCAAATTGAAATATAAAATTTTTTATCAGTTGAAACAAAATGATGACACCCAAGGAATACCATTGTACTTTCTTAAAAAATAATATAAATGTGCACAATGTTAGCGAACTTTTCTGCAAGAACGCAGCGCTACGTCGTTTCATGCTCAAAAGATGAACAAAACAACATCAGGACCAAACTTAGGTCTTTTTTTTTTGGTAATTTTAAGGTTCGTTTATTTTTAGGAAAATAATTAGCTGATTAGTTATTACAAAACAAAAATGTTCAGGGATTTTATAAAACTGTACCTTGACTGTACTGGCAATTAATCTTCATGATTTTGAAAATCAAATGAATCTAATTTTACATATAAAATGTTTGATGGTTCTCTTTAAAGACAGTGATGCATCAGGTAAAGAGTGACGTAAGGTCAACAGATTTGGCTGCAGTCACACGTCCACAGACCTCTGCATCAAACCAGCATTCTCATGTTTTTGTCCCAGTGTTTCAACACGGCTGGAGTCCTTTTTGTGATGTTTATGTATGTCCTCCAGTCTGGAAGGACTGCCCCTGGTAATGCTTTGCTCTGCTGTGCTCAACTGTGTTCAGCCGGGGGAAGGTCACAGAGTTGTCACCAGAGTGTTCCTCGAAGCTAAATTTACAGCTGGATGCTTTTAATTTCTCTTCTTTATTTTTTTCTTTCTTTTTTTATGGTGAGTCATATCAGGAGCGTTTGTCACAAAAAGTGACATTTTCTCTTATGTGAAAAAGAGTTGGACCTTTATTTTACCCAGCTGGTATTTTATTTTCTCAGGTGAATAATGAAACTTTACCTCCAAACCATGGAGTTAAGGTTGAACTTTATTGATTCCGCACCAGGGTCACTCATTTGAAGTCGTTCATGTAGTATTACGTAATTTACAGTAGAGTTGCTGAAAATTACCTTATTATTTTATAAATTAAAATGTCAACAATAATGCTTATGTCTATTATGCAGACATATATTTGCCTGTTTGATCACTAGGGGACAATAGTATTTAAAAATTAACTGGACTTTTAATTTTTATATCATAGTGATGGGATCATCTGCAAAAAAAAAAAAAAAAAAATAGAGTTGCTGAAAATTACCTTATTATTTTATAAATTAAAATGTCAACAATAATGCTTATGTCTATTATGCAGACATATATTTGCCTGTTTGATCACTAGGGGACAATAGTATTTAAAAATTAACTGGACTTTTAATTTTTATATCATAGTGATGGGATCATCTGCAAAAAAAAAAAAAAAAAAAAACAATAACGAAAAAACTTTTAAAGTTCAGCTGTTATTCTGTGTTATGGCTGATCATTCTGACATGTAATATCCAGTTCTGTATGTAAAGTGCATTATAATAATCTCCCCAAATACACTGGAATGTTCTGGAAGGCTCTGTTAAAAATGTCTTGCCCTAAAAAAAGCACTGGGGAATTGACTTCAATTCAACTTCATTGGGGCTAATTGTTTTTTTCTCGCAGATGGATGGATGGATGGATGGATGGATGGATTCCTGTGGTGTGGGAGGGAGTAGGAGGTGGGAGGGGGTGGTGCTGAATGAACAGCTCCTCCGCTCTTTAAACTCCCGTGTCTGCTCTGCTCAGTCACAGACGCACAGCCATGAGCGCACCGAGCTCACCGTCCTCCAGACCCGAACTCTGTCTCCTCCCGTGGCCCTGACACACACACACACACACACACACACCACCACCTGCGTCTCCACCACCACCACCACTAACGACCATTCACCATGAAGAGGCAAAACGTGAGGACCCTCGCCCTCATCATCTGTACTTTGACTTACCTTTTAGTCGGCGCCGCGATCTTCGACGCGCTGGAATCCCAGGAGGAGACGAGCCAAAAGAAGGACCTGGACCAGAGGAAAGACAGGCTGCTCCACATCTTCAACGTGTCCACGGTGGCTTTCGACGAGCTGGAGAAGGTGGTGCTGCAGCTGAAGCCTCACAAAGCCGGCGTGCAGTGGAAATTCACCGGTTCTTTTTACTTCGCCATCACTGTGATCACAACCATAGGTAAGAGCGCAGCGATCACCCGCGGAAACTTTGTCTTTAAATGATAAACTTCGGTGTCAAAGTTAATAATGTGGCACAGTGTGACCATCTGCCCCTCAGGTCCTTCTCAAAATTCCAAGTCACATTTAAAAAAAAAAAAAGTCAAAAAAAAGTCAGAAAACACGGAAATGCCAGACAACGAAAATAGTTCGGTTCACGGGAAGATACGGTTCCACAGGTTTATTTGTTGATGAAGTAATTCAAGAATTGATGCCTGTGAGATATTAACAAAAAACAAAACAAAACATGACGAAGTTTAGACAGAAACAGTGGCATTTTAACAGGTCCCTCAGTGACTTCTGTTAAAGTCCTGTATAAAATGACCAGAACGTTAAATCCTTATTTGATATAAAGGCTGATTTTAATATAGAGGACGTGTCTCTCAGACATCTAGGATTACTTTGACTTTTTTTTTTTTATCATAGAACCCACTTTCCAGAGTGCTGAAGGTTAAAGTTGCTAAATAGTAGCTACATTACAGTATGAACCACTTACTTACCAATAATGAACTAAACTCTGCAGGACTGAACATGTCAATCATGATGAGTCTTGACCATGTTTCAAAATACTGCAGTATAAAGACACAGTGGTGCCGTCTCATACACTGATCATGTCTGATGATGGACCTGATCCAAACCGCAGCCGATCAGGTCCTCAGTGGCCGCTGATTTCTGGTTCTTTGTCCTCTTCTCCCTGACGTCTGTTGAGGTGTTCTCCTCCAGACAACCACAGCTGACTTTGCTGCTGATTTTATTTCAACCCCAAAAATTGTTGTGTGGGAAAATCCCAGTAGGTCAGCAGTTATAAAAATAATCTTGGAGCTCCGCTGGCAGCAATAACTATGTTTACAGTCACTCAAAGGTAGAATGTGCTGAAATTATTTGTCTGCACAGAACATGCAGCCCCCCCCCACACACACTTTTCTCAAGGGGGCGCTATAAACATAATAAAACATGGTCCCAGAGCTGAGTTAACAGCATTAACATTAACACAACAACATTGTGTTCATAAATATTTGATTTTCTTCCAAATGATTCTAGGGTCTTTATTTAGTCACAACTAAAACTAAAACTAGCAACAGTGACATCTACTGGATGTATTTTCTAACATTACCAAGGGAACAAAAATTCGAGCAGAGGACAGTGACCCTGCAGATTAACACTGCAACACTGCCAGTGTCAGTGGTCGTATTTGATGATTACATCACTGCTTTCTATTTATAGCCTGTTGTCTGTGATTTGCATGGTTTTATTTCCAGACTGGAACGTCCCTCAAAACTGTTTTCTCTTTTCCTGTTCATCAGTAAGTTCAGTGCAGCAGGTCGACAAAGTTTAGCGATGGATCTCACTTTTTAACAAGCAATACTGCCACCCTGTGGGTGGGTATTCCAACAGTAGTGCAGTTTACACCCCTGGTGCCCCATTAAAATGCATGGAGTGATTACTGTGTATTTATTTATAAATAAAAAATAATTAATAATATAAAATAATATAATACATAAAATAGTAACTTGTTTATAAATTACTATTATTTATTATGACTTTATTTTATTTTTTTTAAATGT